TGTTTGGTCAAAATTTAAATTTTGCACATCTGACTTCTGAATCTATACATGTAATTAAATTGGAGTGTCTATTTGTTATCATAAGAAAAATTCCAAATTTCAGGAAGATGATGTATTTGCGTTGCTAATAACGAAAATCGCATTTAAAAATTCTGTCTGTCTGTGTATACAAGTCGCGTTTGTTCCGCGTAATCTCCGAAACGGTTGGGCAAATTTTGACCGGACTTTCACTGAAGGATAGCTGACATAGACGGGCATATTGTAGGCTTACTTTGTATCCTAATATTGCGTGGACGAAGTCGCAGGCAACAGCTAGTCTATAAATAAATCATTGAAGTATTGTAATGATTGTTAGTCACTATTGCTAATCCGAAAGGATTAGTTAAATAGAGTTCGGCTTGTAATGCTTTGTGGCTAAACTTGTAAAATGATAGTATTGCGGTGAAGAGGCCAAGCATATATAGCAACCACATCCGGCTTTAGGACACGCAATATGCAAGGGAGCTATATTGTCTAGTATAATAGTTTTCTATTGGTTTTTACTGCATTTTTATTGTTAAACGACGCTCGTTTGTCCTTTCCTTTCGTCTTTTCTTATTGCAAATTTTTTTGTTAAAAAAATAGCATCGGGATTTTTTTTTAATGTTTACAATATACACGTCTTTTTTTAAGAAAACTTTCAAATGTTGCGTTAAAACTTGTCCTTCCTTTAACGATCTTGTTTGTTGCAACGATGATTTATTGAAGCAACCTTTTTAACTCTGACTCGGTATTATGTCGCAAAATCTTTAAATTAAATCTGGAGAATTGCTTTTAATGTTATAACATAAACTTTTATGTCTTCATTTTTTTCGTGTAAAAAAAGTGTCAATAATTGTATTCTGTACACATTTTTTTCGGGTAATTCAACTCGATTGTGGCTGTCCAATCCAATTGGCAATGGATTACAAATTTGCTGATTTGTAGAAAGTTTATTTTGACAAATTGGTCTATAAGTTAGTTAAAGATAGATCCTTAACAAACAACAGACAACACTTTGAACACAGCACAACATACACACAACATTGAAAACAGTCAAGTATGTCTCACGACTGTCACATTTGCCTGCTTTCTTTTATAGATAAAGCTGTAGCCAATGAATTCATAGGCAATATAATAAAAAACTTATGATGCTGTGTATTATACAAATTTCATCATTCTACTCGCAATTAGAACATTAAGAGCGTGCCCACGTTTGATTAAACTATCGCACACTGTTTAGATTATATGGAGGAGCGCACACTACTCGATTTTTAGTTGTACAATCAAACAGTTTTTAGCAGTGCTAGTGCCCGCTTTAACATCTTAGCACAAATGGGCCGGCACGCCCGGTGTAATTCCACGACCACACAAAAGACAGGCGTGAAATGGAACCAATGCCGTGTTTCATCTGATGAGTGTGGTGCCAGAGGCCTAATTTAAGTCCCTATCTCTTTACCACCCTTTTCTTATGAGAGGATGGGAAGGGGAAGTGGATTTGACGATGGAAGAGATGCATAGGAAGAGGAAATATCCTCTTTATTTGCGTCTCCTCCTCCGTCGGATAAGGGTAGGCGACGCATCTGCAATTGCAGATGTCTATGGGCAGCGGTCGCTTCGCCATTTTGGCGGATTCAGGTGGCCGCTTGCTCGTTTGCCATCTTATGTTATAAAAAAAAGGCTGAATTGTAATCTAAACAATCGACAATCGACCAACAGTTGTGCGAAAGTTTAGTCAAAGGTGTGTCCCCGATCGTGGTAAGATTAAATGAGGATCCCTTTGTGCGCTAAATGCTGTATGAATGCTTTTACGCGACAGTTCTAAATTTAGGCTATTACGACGTTTGATTTGGATTACGACAGCATAAAGTGACGGCAGTTGAGGACATAATATCGCTGTGGAGCAGCACAAAGCGATTGGATAGCTGCTTTGAATGTGTGTCGCTTAATTTTGACGACTCTATATGATACAATGTACGAGGTCTTTGTGGTATTGTCTATTTTACTAAAGATATATGATACATCGTTAAAATAAACTGAAAAACTACCGAACCCATTATCTACAAAAGCAAATATATGTCAAATTGCATAATTCATTATATATTTTGCAGATAAATACCTAAATAAACATATTTTTTAATTCAAATCATTGTTTCTAGCAATTGTCTTATCTGATAACAATTGTACAAGGAGAGTTTAAACGTCACTGCACATGGTTCGGTTTACATTTCCTTGAATAACAAGTTAGTCTAAACAACGATTTAACAAATCGACACCCAATTTAAATGCAACGATTGTACAATAATCGTAGTACATATTAATTTATGAGTAGTTGCCATACTCCCGGCCATTTCCGCCTTTATCGGAAGCATTGTTTGAGCGAGTGTTGAGGGAAATGGTCCACGCGAAGTACAAGTAAAGTTTTGAGTTCGTTTTACTCGTTCAATTTAACTATTGATTGTTCTCGAAACTTCCTACTTTGATATACTATTACTTTATATTATTCGCACACAAATAATATTTGACTATACAATGACGTCATACGATTGTACGGTGTACAAAAATATTTGGCTGCGAAGTAATGGTGGGAAGTGTTAGGGTTATTTTATAGCTTCGTCGCTTGGTGTACGTTAGGCATAAAGGAAGGTGTGACGTGCGTGAAATAAGCGCATTCGTATGATATAGTGAATATTTTATTACTCCGAACATGTCCGTAGGTTTATAATATCTTAGTTATATCATTCTTTATTCGCCCAAATTTATAAATTTACTCAATTTATTACTTAAGGCATAAGGCTCATTTGAAAATAAAGCTTAGGTGTAACAAAACAAACGTTCAGGCTTAACCGGCCTTTGGCAATTATCCAGCATTGATATGTTGCGCTGTATAAATCTCGTTTCGCTGGCGTTGTACCAATCCGAGACTGACTATTAGAATTAAACGTTACTTACTATCACTTGCGTTTATTTATGAGTTTCAGCTACCGTACTGCATATCTACGCTGTGATAGCACATATTAGAAAACTGTTGACACATAAAAGTACTATCGGGGAAACTGGAGGTGTCTCGCTTTAAGGTTACAGTCATTTAAACATTTCGTACACATTATGATAACCGGGGAACGAAAACCAATAGGTCACAGCTTTGTGTCTGTACGAAAATATGTCCATTATTGTTACACGGCTAATTGCTTTATTGTCCCATGACATCTTATTGGTTATTTGTGAGATGAGAAGATCGCTTTTTTGCATGGAAGAAGGCAAAACTGTAAGTGGAACAGCGCGCATTTCTGCGACTGTACTTAGAAGCAATCGTATTTTGTTACTAGTTATCCTTATGCTAATATTACATCTTTAACATTTTAGAAGAGAATAGGAATCCTACAGGAATTAAAAATAACTAGAGGTGAGCATCAACATATTTCACTATTTTAATGTTTGAATTCCAATACTAAAGAACAATGGTGTAGGTGACACTTCTGTCCGGTATTACAGTCTTCAGATAATCTTTGGATGATATGTAAACTAAAAGATGATGTAGAAATATTTTTATCAGTTTCTATGGATTGTTAATGGATTCAAAATTAAATATTATTGTATCTCATTCCTTCATTCCATGTATCCCACACTATTATACCCCTTAATGATTTACCAACACCATAGTATAAAATAAGAATTCCACTTAGGTAACATTTAACTGGGTTATTAATTAAAAACCCGTTCAGAAGTTAATTACTTTAACTACTAAAGAGATTTCGTTGCTAACCCGTTGCGGTAAAAAGGTAAATACATTCGGGAACAGTTTTTTGCGAGGCTTCGTGATTGATGGACGTTTAAGATGACTTGTAACTGACAAACAAATGAATTGTGTTTGTTAATGTGATTTATGAAACTTTACGGTGAAGGTGGTTAAGAACGAGGTTCTATACTAATCTATACTGAGTGCGAAGGAGCCAGCTAAAAATTAGCGCAGGAATGGCTTAGTCCCTCCTGCATACGCTGAGCAGGCTACCTTTTGCCACAATCGTATGTTATTTAATAAGTCCTTTAATGTAATTCCTCTTTTGTGGCAATAAAAAATCATTCATTCATTCTATATCTATACTACTGTTATAAAGAGGAGAGGTATTTTTGCATGTATTGGAATAACTCAAAAACTACTGGCTTATTTTAAAAATTCTTTCACCTTTAGAAAGGTAATTTATCTGTAAGTAACGTAGGCTTTAATTTTT